TGCTGTTGAGCGGGGATGTGCGCTATACAAATGGTATTTATTATTTTATTATTAAGAATACAAAGAAAGACACTTGCAGATTCCAAAAAACCCAACAACAATGAGGCGACAAATGATCAAATGAACCTCAACAACAGCTGATGTAACCACAAAGTCGCCGTGGTGTTGCTATTGTTCGCCACAGTTCAAAGCCCTGTTTTTCGAACATTACAAAAACAAATTTAAATTGACAAGTACTGCTGAAAACCCTATAAAAGTAACCAGCCATCATCAAAGAGTAATGCCAACAATCCGTGACATTCTTTGTGAATTCTTTGTCTTCTCCTGTGTCGAAACATAGTGGAATCAGGCGCTCGTCAATTTTTGGGGCATTCTAAATATGGAGTTATTGGTATAACCATAAAGCTTGTTATTTTGACTTGCTTCTGACGGAACGATTTTTATCTATTTTGAATAGAAGTCTAGATATTTGTGAGTGAAGGAGGTCGGGGTCACCCAGTGTCAAAAGGAAAAATAGCATAAATTGGTATTAATGGTCGGCAAAATTAGGTAACTTTCAAAGCTTGAGTGTCCGTGGAAACTGCAACTTTACATGTTTTGTGCCTTTGATCAACGTCAACGTGTTTATTCTAAATAGAATTCACACATAAATCCGTTTTTATGGGGGCATAAAAGGTGCTGACCCCCCCCTAACCAAAACGAACAACCAAACAATGAAATAAAAAGTAAGAATAGCCCAACTGATGGGAATAAACATGCGGATTTTTTTCGTTTCTTTACTTTATTTTGGCGAACACTTGATTTCCCCAAGATGCCATTCTTACAACTGTCGAGCAACTTTTCCGTGCCCCCTCACCCATCTTGTCACACATCCCGTCCACACAACGCATTCAACAAATAATAATAAATAATAAATTATAGCTTTTGTATAGCGCATATCCCCGCTCAACAGCAGGCTCTATGCGCTTTACACTAAATTATTACCTCAGCAGACCGTAGAACACTCCGAAACATTCTCAGCTTCCCGGGAAGCATACAGTGCAAGCAGCTGATTAAGCGCTCAAACACAAACAAACTGACAAGATCTTTTGCTGTCTATAGCCGGGTACCCTTTCCCACCTGGGTGAAGTGAGGAAAATTCGTGTAAGTGCCTTTCCCAAGGACACAACGTCGGGCCCTTGATGGGATTCGAACTCATGGCCTTACGGTTGCGACCCTAATCGGTACAAGTATTATAACTTTCTTCTCTAAACTTTTCTCCTTTTACACCCTTTCCTGCTCTATAACTATGTACTGTCGTCTGATTTCATCTCCACTTTCTGCCCCCACCTTCACAACTCCATGCCCCCCCTCCTCTGGGCTCCTGACTCTTTCTGCAGCCTCTCTACTTGTACTCCTTGGCTCCTCCTTACTGCTGTCTTTCAATCACACCCCTGATCTTATTGTTGATAAGATTTAATACCTAGCCTTCTCGGATAACGGTGAAAAATCCCGGAGGTCCCGGGTGCAGTTTGCACACCTTAAAGATCCCTTGGTGGTCCAAAATTGATAAAAGTAGGCTTAGGCCGCCACCTCGGCAAAATTCAAAATTTCCAACCTACTAAAAATGTTTGGTGTGTCCCGCGCGCTAATATGACCTTATGCAGTTGCGAGCGCCGCAAAACACTTACAAAAACTGAGGAGGCGGGTTGCCTCTACCAAGCCTTCCAGATCCCAAATGGGTTGTGAGGATTACATCATATTACACATATGAAGAAGCCAGGTAACACATCTCTCTCTCTCTCTCTCTCTCTCTCTCTCT